TTGCAAATATGAACACGCGTCTACGCAAACAACCGATGCGAGCCTATCTTTGAAACGTTACCCTCTCGAGGCACTGAAGGCCAAGAATCCAGCACGCCTAGTCAAAGTATCTACATACGCTTGGGTAACACAAGGATGCTGTGGGCTGCTGCACCTCGCGATTAGCGACGATACCCCAGCAGTGGCGGGGTTCACCCCTTCTAGATATGTTTATTATGTCCACCAAGTTTTTAGTATCTATAGAAACCTATTCAGAAGCCAACTACAGAAGTCGGCCATTTGAAGCGTAACGCAACCAGAAAATGTACGTCGTAGAAACTTCGCTCAGCGACCGACAGCCCTCACTAGTGATGGTGGCGGCAAATTTGACCTGCAGAAGAAGTAGCTAACGCATCAGTCTCTTTATTTTGTTTTGGTCGTAAATGCGGTTTTATGGATTTTCCTGCGCTTGATGGACTATTGCTTTTACGGCTACAGAGGCTTGCAGCCGTTACTGCTGCCGCTGCCACTGCCGATATTCCTGGCTCACTGGTGCTCGAACCGGTGGAGTCTTAAGCTTCTCTCCCTGGACTTTTCTATTTTTTTTGCTTGCCAACATTTTACCGCCGGTAGCCAATGGTGTTGGTTGAGGCGGCAGCGCTGCAGACGGACCTCTGTGAAAAAGACAGTAAACTTTCGTTTCTGCTGTTCAGGCCATTGCCGTATCTGCGATTGATATTACTGCTGCTGCTGCTGCTGCTGCTGCTGCCATTGCCGCTGTTAGCTAATCTGCTGCTGAGTCGCCCGTACTACTACGTTTTGGGCGCGCCCGAACCGGACTACCGCACAAATCAGTAGCCGTGTTCGATTTTGTGGCTCACTTGTACAACGAACGGCAGCGAAGTTTACCTCAATCGCTCACCCAGTTAGGACACAGTTTACCACATACTTGAGTTTGTGGCCAAGCTTAGAAGACTGGTGGCTTTTGGTAGCTGTGAATCGCAATAAGCCAATGGTATCAGATAATACTTATCAGCACCCAGCAGTTTTACGATGCTCCCAACCCCTTGAGATGGTGACGACCTCTGGCGACCCCTTTTTGTAGCTGGCCTTTCTGACAGAGTTGCGCCTCTACTATGAATATGCTGGCAATACCGTGACGATCGATTTTTTTAAGCTCGGTTTTCGCGCAGAGTGAACATTCGTGCTTTTTTTTTTCCGGTAATGTACGATGGGTTTGTATAGCATAAAGAGAAACGCAACATTTCTATGCCTATGAAGCGGCAATTTGTACTCCTAAGAAAGGGGAATTGCCCCTGATGCTTCATATTGAGCAAAACAATTATTATAGAGTATTTTAGATATAAATCGTTAAATCGCATTCAGCTGAAGTATATGTGAGTGGCAGATAGTTTGAAGTTCGTGAAAACCTAAAAACGTTGCCAAGTCGTGCAACAGCCTCTGGTCTCCAGCTGGGAGCTTCAGATAACTAACCGAGTACCGTATAGACTTATACTCACAACGACAGTAACATTTCAACATGCGAACCCGCAGGAGAAAGTAATTTAGGTTAATGGAAATTGATAAAGGTTACCGTATAGGCTGTTGGCACATGTTTACTAATGGAATACGACCGTCTGTTACTAAGTTCATTGCGATTCGACAATAACTTCTATTCTATGTAAATAGTCCAGTTGTAACTTTTTGGATAAGTCGAGCACCCTAAAATTCAGAAATATAACACATACATAAATAAATACGCTCCTTTTGGTCGTCTTCAAAAACGTCGGGTCAAAAACGTTTGGCCGTTTCACGAAAACAATGGTCTTTTATGGTGAATTTGTTGCTTGTAATCCTGGCTTTCCTCAAATGTAAGTCGCACCATGTCGGGTGTTACTATATGGGTATCCGCCCCATTTCGAATATATCCCTACGGAAATTAGCTTTGCTGAATGTGCTCTCTTCTGTTTGAACAGAAGCTAATGTAGAACGATCGTGCCCCTATTGTCTATAAACATATTTAGCAGAACCAATGACTTTCACCGGAACTTCTGCAGATAGCAGACGTGGTGTAAAAACGGGCGATAGAAAGTAACTACGGCAGTATGGCGTGTCTGATTTCAACTACATCGACCCCCTGCTTTCAACCTATTCATATTCCCTTTTCCTCTACTGAATTAGTTTCGTTTGGGAACGCGTTCCCGGATAAACGTCTCACCGTTTCCTATTCTCCAACGCGGAAGTACGCCTACCTTTTTACCTGATTTTCGCAAATTGTCGATGTGTCTATGTTGTGGCAATAGTTGTAGTAGAGACAGCTGCGTCTAAGACAGCCATTCATGGAAAAGATTTTCCACACTTAGGCCTTCCGAATCGACCAGCGCTTTTGGAATGATTGCAGACATAGGTTGACACTGCTGGTTCGAGGCGATCATTTCCGGCGAGAAAGCGGAACTATATTTCTGTACACTAAATTACCGGTGCCGACAGACAGGCGTCGCTCTTCGACGATCTTCAGACCTGCCGCTTACTACGTATTAGACTGCTGTTGATTATCATCCGACATTGAAGTTCATTCCTGTTAACAGACGAAACAACACCCAATAGACGATACCAGAACAAGATCACCCAAAACATGCAAGCTTACATTCATTATTTTTTGTGTTCGATTCACGTCTCACGATTTCTTACGTGACACACTATCTGCAATTAGCAAACGCTGACACATCAGCATATGTAAATAGTTTACGCTATAAGGACCGGCTAATTTCTTCAAGAGGATCTTACAGTATCCGATCATAGTAGCGTCTTCAGGCTTTATTTCTCCAGGATCTTCTCTCCTTTTTTTTTTCGCGTACAGCCGAAAGTAGCAAATTGATCCTTGTTCATGACACGCCTCGGCTCTAGCATCCGAACAAATACGCCCGTTCGGCGTTCATCTTGCGATCGATCTATATGGCTATCACCAACCAGAATCACGTGAACGTTGGCTAACTAAGTAAATTGGCGAAATCTCGTCGAAATCTTCCTTAACATGTATACCCACACTAGCAGCAGGGCTGGTATCGCTGCCACGCCACCTAAGTGAAGACATCTTTGTCGACAGTAGCGTGGGGGACACACAACAACCAGAGTAGAGATGCCTAAGTAATCGGCCGCCTGCCTACCTGCTCGGCATTGCCCGCTGCTCGCCAGCATTTCTGACTATAGCCACCATTATAGATCTCTGAGCAACTCACAAAGGACGGCTGATAGTAGAGCAGGCATAACGAAGCAAGCTGGTACTGTTCCTGTTACCAGAGATGTTAAAGACGCGGCGAGTCTCAAGACTCTAGCGACAAAGTAAGTCAGCGACTCAACGATAGAGGAAAGAAAAGGCTCGGAAGATACGGCGATAGTGCGCAGCACAAATACGCTGCCGCGGATAGAAAAGTTTCCTTTCATTCCATTGCTTCGACAAGCAGCACTGCCAAAACCGCGGAGGTTGATGGTGATGATGATGAAGTTGGTGCTGGCAAAAAAAAAGAAAACGAAGCAGAACGAAGAAGGCCTCCCGCTGGTGCACCACCCGGTGAGGCATCGACGAAAAGCCACTCCGAAGAGCGGCTTCAGCTCTCGGCGGCTGAATCGGTCGCACTTCGATAGCTAGATGCAGGAAGGAAACTGGACTATCAGCATCGGCAGCATCAGCCAATCTCGACGCATTCTCGTGCATTCGTGGACAGCGACGAATCTACCGACGCAAAGCTGGTCACGGTCAAGACGCTGCCGACCCCCTTCGTGGCCTGCATTGTACATATATGTGTATAGTGTGGCTGAAAACGACATTGTGGAATAAAACAATTTCACCACATCGCACGCGCTCCTCGAAGAACACATTTAATATAGAGGGTCGCCGAAGCAACAGTGAAAGAAACCGCTGGGGGAGACGAAAGAGGCGGACCAATATTTGTATGGCTATTTGCTTTTTCAAAGGTTGTCGCTTCCTCCGGCTGAGCTGCCGCCATAGCCACGGCACCGAAGTTCGTTGTTCAGGTCGATTCGGTGACGTCGATTTCGTGGTCCTATTTACTCGTTTTTGTGTACAGTAAAATTCTTTGATGATGCTGAGAAACGGAATTGGTTCTTTGCTATTGGGTGCTGGGAGTTGAAGGGAGGTTGCAGCGATCCGTTCTCGGCTGTTTGACCGATGGAACAATGCATCGAATGCAGTTTCGAAAGACGAGCGATACGAGAGGAACTGTGGGTCCTTCCTCGCAAAGGTACGGTTCGGAGCTATCGGGGACAGTTGAACTTGAGTTGGGTGGGGTAAACTGGGTTTTCGAACGCGAAGTGAAGAAGCAGCAGAATAAAACTGGGTCGATGCATATAGACTTCACTGGAACGCATGGATCATCGGGCGAAGCAATCATCTGCCTATATTGTTCCGGGACGGCACCGTTAAGCGAATTCGTATTAATTGCCATACCTAAGTCCATTTTCGACAAGAAGATGAGATTTAAGAAACAACTAAACAGAGGCATAGAAGTTAAGCAAATATTGGTGAGCCGACTTCAAAGCTCGATGAATGAACTACAGAAACTGGTAGCGAACAAAAGTTACAGAATAATGGGCACATCAATGCGTATATATACCTATATTAAGAAAGGAGAGCCATCAACATTATCTGGGGGTTCGCTGTAGGAAATTGCGGGCGTATAGTAACTTACACTACCCATAAAGTGCGCATGAAATGGAGCTCATCATGTCCTACATTGAAAGCTTTTATTAGAAGTGATTAGACGGATCCTATATTAAAAAAAAAAAAAAAAAAAAAAAGCAAGCGTATTTTTGCCTGATCATTGTGATAGTATCGGAAATCCGTATCAGTGCTCGCATGCCTGCGGATGTGTATCGAACAAATAAGATGTGTATACGACCAATACAAACAGATACAATGGCTTTTCATGAATGGCGAGAACTTAGAAACGGGAAAAAAGCTCTAGCTTATACAACGTATCCTAATCTTTTCGCCCTTGCAGGATGTGGTTTCGAGTACGAACGTTGAAATCAAGACCGAGATCAAGGAAGAGTCGAAGGATGATTCGGACGAGCCGGACTTCGTCGAAACGAATTGCCACTGGGGGGAGTGCACCATTCAATTTGACACGCAACAACAACTGGCAAGTAACGGGCAATGGCTTTATTGGAAACAGCGATTTAGAAACTAGACAAACTGATATTCCAGAAGACTTTTTCCAATGACAGACTGGCTAATTGCAAACGAAAGTAGACAGATTGGAAACATTGATTGAAAAGGACCGTATGGCCCCAACACTAAGACTATTTCCATACTCTTGCGTTTTTCGCTGTCCTATTTGCTGTCTACGTTGCTATACGTTTGACGGTCGCGGGGTTATCACGGAAGATGTGGACGTCCGCTAGTCCGTTAAACGACTCTCTTCTGCCATTAGGTTGAGATCCATTAGCGTCGAGGTTGATCGATTTAGCTGGTAGACGTTTTGCCCGAGTCTATAGTGGCTATCTAGGAGAAACACATTTACTAGAATAAATATCTGCTAGTAGTCGCAATATAGTATGGCATTGTGGATCGAAATGCCGATCGATCTTCTTCCTTGAGTCGATGCCGGTTGCGCCGTATTAAATGGATTATTGTAGTCGATGAGGTTAATTGTTAAGCGTGGACGACGCTCAATGCGACGAGCTAGCCGCTGCCGTCGCTTTTCGGGGGTCTCGGGATTCGAATTTTGTGAAAGGGTGCTGCCGCCCGCGCGGTGCCAGCCGCTGGAGTGCCGCCACAGAAGTGAGCGGGGCGCTCGCTCTGCCTCCTTATTCAATTCGATACCACTACCCAGAGACATTTGCATCAACAGCGAAAATGAAGACAGCGAAAACTCTACCACTGTGTCATGTATCATAGAATCAGCACCCGCTACTGCCGACGCCGCCATCATCGTTGAGGAAGAATGGACCGCCAGACAGCTTTCTATGCATAGAACTTGATGGCTGAGGAGTCAGCAAATCTAATGCGACCGTAATCGAATCTCAACCTAACCTGTCGTGGCTCGCTTCTTCGCCGCGAAATAATAGCCGCTCTGGCAGTGCGGCACCAAGCTCATCCGCTGTTCTACCGGCTATTTTGAACACTTCAAGCGTTGTATGCGGGTTTCTTGCAGGCGGCGATGGACTTTTTGAACGCGCGCGGTGAATCGTTTACTTCGGCTAGTCCGTCTCTTTGTAAACTTACCTGAATATTGCCTGCATTGGTTTTCTTGATCCACATCCTAGAAGCAGGTTTTTTTTCTTTAGATATACGAAGGGCGGGATATAGAAGACAGAATTACCGGATCAACCGTTCTGTTCCGTGTAGTAATATGTCTAAGTCTGCTATATCTCGGCGTGTGTGTATGTATGCTTATGCGTTAAGTTCCTCTCTCTTGATATATATATATATATATATATATATATATATATATAGAGAGAGAGAGAGAGAGAGAGAGAGAGAGAAAATATCAGGATTTATGGAAAACTTTCCTTCAATGCATGTAGGGTGTACAGGTAGTGGTCTGGTCGCTGCAAGATCTAATTAACGGAAAGATGAAGATGACACTGATCGAACGTTCAAGTTCCATAAACTCAATAAATAAGCAAGCGCCAACTCAAATATACAAAGACAGGTAGAAGGAGGCTCTGCTCTTCTCAACTACGAGACTATATTGCGTCGCCAGTCACCCAGCGGTTTGCGCTTGTGCGACCTTCCTTTGTCTGCCCAGTACCAACCTTTCGTTTGTTTCCTCTGTGTGGTGCAGTATCGCACCCTCGATATCTCTGTCTCCTGAACCTTTAGCCAGCATCCAACAAGACTCGAGCACCGATATAACAGCGGATAAGCACCTTCTTCCTCTAGATATATATATAGAATCTTCGTGATCATTTGTGGACTAGCCGTTCCTTTCCATTGAGATAAGCACAATACTAGAAACGCATCGGCACAATATCAGAGCAGTGAAGCCGCCTTAGCAGTCTTATTTTCAACAATTGAATCATCGTTCAGCAGATCTAGCTCGCGCCTTTATTCGACCCGTTGGGTTTTCGAGATTGGCTTCGATGGCTGCATAGCTGCCGATAGCGTTATTCAAGTCGAACATCATGAATAATGTAAAAGATGCCAGTCGTAGCTGAAGATGCAGATTCTATAGCGAGATTCGTTAGTTAAATCTTATCTCTGGATTCGAACAATTGATCAGTATTTTTATTCATATTTAGGTTAGTTATGCATGGTTATGGGATTACGTTGACTGTTGAAACCACTGTAATTTGTAATACGAAGGCTCTAATAAGGAAGGACCAGTTTGACGAAATATAGTGCAACTTGTTTGGACAGCTCGATTGATAAATAGGATATTCTAAACGTTCGTGTCGCTAATTTGATCTGATCGAACCTTGTCTCAGTCTAACGAAAACGTTGCTTTCTTGTCTTCATGTTTCCCATCTTCCTAGGTGGACCATCTACAAAAGGATCACATACAGACTAACAAGAAGGCCTACGTTTGCCGATGGCAGGAGTGCTCCCGCGAAGAAAAACCGTTTAAGGCCATGTACATGCTTGTCGTGCATATGCGTCGTCACACGGGCGAGAAACCCAACAAGTGCACGTTCGAGGGCTGTCAAAAAGCCTACTCGAGACTGGAAAATCTCAAAACACATCTCAGGTAAGAGTCGGGATAAAACATTTAATACGAAATTTCTATGAAGCGTTCTCATGGGGAAACGAGTCGAACGTAGCCCATTCCCCTTCTCTTGTCTCCTTGTTTCAGGCCGGTACTAGTACTAGCGTGAAGGGACTTACCATAATCAACATGTTTACTTATCAAGTTTTCGTTATTGCGATTTGCGCTTTGTTCTTAGTTTAGGCTAACTCTAACTTGCTAAGTTGACAAAGCGAGCCTTGGGTGGCACGAGATTGTGATAACAGTATTCGATATGCATAGCCAACATCGTTTTGTACGTGCGACGTGAAGACAGGCCCAGTTTTATTGCGCCCAGTCTTAACCAGATAGTTAGTTCTACTTATCTGTTTGGCACTTTCTTCTATTTATCACGAACCAGGATAATGGAATGGATAGTCGAAGCATTTCTTAGGTCACAGAAGAGCTGATTATGTCCAAGTACGGATTCGCAGCTTTCGTTCGACTTTACTCCCAGCAGTCTTTCGGTACCTATCCAACGGATGACGACACCGACCAGTTTTGTTTTTCACGCTATCACCGTTAGAAGCGCGTTCAGTAACGATGAAGACGATCGTGAATTCAGTCATCCCGTATCGGCTCGCGACTGTCGAGTTACTGATATTAGTGGTTACTGGTAACACGAAGTGTTTAGCTAATTTGTATGGCGACGCGCGACGACATCTACGAACAGCCTCTAATCATTAAATGGCATCAAACGTATTATACGCTGTGTGTGAGAAAACAATTACTGACGCTTATTTTGTTCGTTAGACATCGTCAGGCGCATGAAAAGAATAATGGATAGACGCCGGCTTCGATAGAGACCGTCACCGGAATATTTGAGAGCCATCTTCTTGTCCATTCAAAAACATGCCTAGTTTAATATACTGTTTGCTTGCATAGTCCCGTTCCATAGAAACGCGTGGATTTTTCTTTTAGCTGTCATAGAAACGTTCATTACGGCGTTGGGTTATGGCTAATCCCAACGCACGCAAGCCAGTAATCTCAATGGTCTCAACATACATATTTGATTGTTTCGTGAGCTACCTTTGTGTCAGCACTGCTGTTACTAGTGGCTTCGATTGGCCTGTATAAACCCGTTCAATTATCGTTTTATTAGACTTTTGTGAGAAGAGTCTTATTTGAAACACTGATAACACTGCTGGCCGTAGTTCTCATCCTCGGCCCCACTACACGAGCAAAGGAAAAACGCTGATCTATTGCGTGTTTTCTCATTCCTAAGGCATTCATGTACAGGATGTATGATACGCGTCTCCCAGATAAATATGGCATTTTCTGAAAGACAGGCGCACGCATCAGGCTCTGGGCAAATGTCTTTCGAGGAGAACCCACAGATGCGTTCCATAGACGTAGCCGTATTCTCGATAAGACAAATATCCTATGAGTCTTTCTGAATGGTCGATTACGTGCGAGAAAAAAGATGAGCTTCTTTTCGTTCGTATAGCATACGCACTAATATATGTGTCAGTTATGGCGATATTACCCCAAACCAATAAATTTAACTCAATAAACGACAAGAAAGAGGAAATGCACCTGGCAACAAAAGGCTCTCCTGAACCATCTAGCCTTGTTAGACATCATCGTCAAAGATTTCGACCTCGCGAAGAAATCGCCAACTGAAGCGCTATGGTGAGCGTTTTATCTACTTCGATGTATGTAGCCGCAGTCGTAAGATGAACCGACGCCACACGTCCAGCGGATTGGCCTGCAGTGAACTTTGGCTACAAGGAACTTGTCAGTGGCCATATTGCTGCTGCTGCTGCTGCTGCTGTTGTTGTTGTTGATGCTCCTGTTACTTTTCCTCTGCATTTGCTACTATCACCTTTGATGCTCTTATTTCTCGCGTCGGCACCTTTCGTCGTTGTTTCAGTCGTCTTTTTTTTCTACCGTTCGCTGATTCAGTGGCGATTTCGTATATGTAAGTGCGTATCCGTGAGTCTGTGAGACCCTCGGTTCGTCTTTGAGTGTGCTATTCGTTCGAGCGTCGTCTATCTGTTCCGATGTGGCGCCTCCTCTGAATCCATCTTCATCATTCTTGATGAATGTTGCTACCAGGAAAAGTTTCACACTTCGCCAGCATGTCATCTTTGCCGCCGCCACCACTGTGCCGTTCGCACTACTATGTAACTCGTGTACAGACAGTCGCCTACCCAAGTTCACAAATGCACAAACAAATAGACAAACACGCCGACGTATAGACACACATGCACACATGTTGGATCTTGTTGTACGACATCAAAAGTAGCAGTAGAGTAGAAAGCGACGTGGGAGCGAGTAAGAAGTGGAGAAGGAATCCACTATACAAATAGAAGAATACCCACATCGATTAGGAAGACCCAATAGTAGAACGTTGCCAAGGTGACCGAGCGAAACATAAAGGAACACAACGTATGATCACACTGACAAAGCGGCCGCTGAAGCCGAAAGGAATCGTCGCGGCAAAGGCAATAGCAGTGCCTTCCTTTCCGCTGTTATTGGTTATTTCGCTCCTCTTTTTTTGCCGCCCTCTCCCATTTTGTGATTTTCGGCTGTTTTTTTTTTTTTTTTTTTTTTTGTTGAGCTTTTATGTGTGCGGTTTTTCTGGTCTTTTCTACGGATTGGCTCTCTCTGGCTGTTCTGACGATGCTTCGAAAAGTGGCATCGTACGCTCGCTGACTCTATGATGTAGCAATCTCCAGAGTTTCGTGTGGGGACTTGGATGTGAATGGTATAGACAAATACCACTTTGTAGCAATTACTGTCAAGAGGTTTGTGATTCTTTTTAAAAGGGACAGATGCCTGTTTTGATAATGATGGTGACAACTACGACTCGAATACTCGTCATACTAGTTGGCTAAGATTCTGGTGATGAAATTCGCCCGAGCTGTAAATCGTGCCCGTGAACTCTGCTGCGTATAAAGGCGACCTTGAAGAAGACCTTTCTATTGTTGCTATGAAGTTGTCTATACAAGAACCTTTGATTGCGACTTATGTCCTCAGTCGGCCTGTCGATGTCTTATGATTGAACGTATTCGGATTGAGCTCAATTGATAGACAAGCAAAACAGGAAGAAACTAAAGAAGAATCAAAAGATGATGCCGCCATCCCAAGCTGCACCGGACAGAATTATGTGTAACCGGAATATCTATGGTGTATTGCTATGACGAAGTCCCGCTAAACCACCAATATCAAATCCGTTCGCAAAGTTGTCCTGATGCCCAATTGTTTAAGGAGAAGTCTCTGCAGTTGACGACATGATAATTTTCACCCGCTAGCTGGCTTATTTGCTGGCATTACTTTGCTATTCCTTAACGGCACTTGTTGTTGTGGGATCAGTGTTCTGTCGTTGCTGACAGAAAATACACACCCGTAGAAATGCGATATGTTTAGCTCTTTTTTTTTTTTTTTTTCATATCTTACCTCTGTCTTCCTTTGTCCCTGGCAGCGCAAAGTTTCTACGTACATACGAGCTGACACTAACGATGGCAAATCTTAAACGAATCTGCCGTTATATCCTAACAAGTGCCAGCCAATTCTACACTCCAATGCCACTTTTCTATCGATTAATGATCTTGCCGACAACAGTTCTTTACAGTCACTACCGCGCTCTGATCCAGCGCGTCAGACTAAAAGGCCGCATTTGAGATCACTTGAGTAGTAATAAAGGTATTCGTTTACTCACTTTACCAATACGTCCCGATGTGAAAAGCTAATTGAACTAGTTCGGTCATGGTCAGGACAGCGCATGTGGCTGTGATCGTCTCAGGACACGATTATCATCAACGCTTCTTATCGACCTTCTTTCTCCCTTTCGTTGGATGTGTTCCCTTACAAACTTCTAAATATATACTCAGGACAAAGAGCCTTGTCCATTGAGTGGGCCCGGTAAAGCGAACTTTCCGTGTCACTGCAACTGGTGCACACTGAGCCACTAATGTAAGCAACGCGACAGACCGGCACAGATTGCATGCGGCTAGTGAATGAGGCATGTGGGTATTTAGATATGCTGCGGTCTGCTTCGTTCCGACAAGTCTGAGTTCAGTTTCCTCGCACTTCGTCCGGAAAACCAAACAGGACCATCCGGAGGAAGAACAGGCGCCCAGGGGAAGATATGGGGAAGGGACAAAGGAGCATCATCGTCCAGTGAAACGTAACAGGGCAAGGCACGTGAATAGTGTCGTTGATCAGATCGCCAGTCGTTTGATCGAGCGGACGCCGACAAGTACTACTAGATATAACCTAGAAAAAGATTTATTGTTGTACGGCTCCTTATCTCGGAGGGGTTAGGATTGTATGGGAAGTGCCAACTCAGACTTGGTAGGCTGAGTGGACGGCTGGTCAATCAAGCAGAAAAGACCTGCTAAGGATTCGCGCACCTCTCGCGCAACAAAAATCAATGCAAGGTTACAAAACAGTATCGAGAATCGATATCAGTATATATTACAAAGTTGGCGATGAGCTAGGCAATATTACACAAATGTTTTTAAGCAACATTTATAAGACGACAGAAAATGCCTGTTACATTTAATAGCTCAGGTTTTCCTACATGCATTGCTTTATACTTTTCCTTGTTGTTGTTGTTGTTGTGCTCTGCTAGCGGTTCCGTTGTCTGTCAGCTTATCTCTTCGGCCATTGACTGCGATTTTATTGCAGATTTAAGCGCTAGTTTGTTATATGTTCTCTACCTATCCTAGGCCGAACCACTTCGACATCCTCATGGCGATGTCACTGCTGCTAGATGCTGATCATGCGATGAGGCAGAGAGCGATCACAATGATAAGGCTACTCATGATTGTTACGACTGGTGTGCTGTTTATATGGCTAGGCCAATACGCTTACGAGTCTCTCGGTGTAGTTTTGGTCTCGGCTGAAAGGTCGCGCAAGCGTCTGTCATGACGAGGGATCCATCATCGAGTAGCTGTAATGACTTTGTGATGTGGGCAGTCTAATTTTTCGTCGGCGAACGTTGAAGCGCTGAAGGGCAACAACGGCGGCGACGGCGACGGCAACGGCAACCGTTACAACTACTATATATAACCTAAGTCAGATACGCGATGACTTATCTAATACACAGTCTGGAGCTCACTGGTGTAGTCAGTTTTGCCGGTAGTTCGCCGATGCGTGCTAACATTAGATAGTGGCTCGGGCGTCGACTACCGTGGAATTGATTACTTGATGAGTGTGTGCCTGCCTGGCAATTTGTCCTGTGCTACCTTATACTTTGCCGTTCTCTGAGCTGAGGACGCGCCAGTAATTCGTAGGCGTATTTTAGCTTCTACATTTGTACGTCAATGTTTTGATTGAACTAGGAAGCACACAATGCCCGGTGATGGTTCGCAGTTATTGCGCGTTATTTAAATTTGATCTCCATGCGATCTTTCCGTTTACGGCGCTACTGATTAGTATACTACCGCTAGTATTACTAGTGCCACTATACTTCATGAAATTAATAGCTTCGAGTTTGGCACCTGGGGCCATTGTTAGATGTCGTTCCATTGGACGGTCAAGCCCCTCCCGCACATATTGCGCCCATTATGAGCCCCTAATAAATAGCTCACATGTATACTAATACTGATATTTGCAGTGATCAGATGGTTAATTGAACCATTTGGATGGTCCAATAATTTTCCGTACTTAGTATTAACGCTAATCATAAACTATAACGTCTTCAAGTTGTCACGTTACCTAATTTCACCTAAACCCAGTTTCGGGCCGCTCCAGCGAAACATTCGTGAGTAGTACCACACCTGAGACGAGTGCACACTCGGACCCATTTGTGGAAAAGACTAACAAAGCACATGAGACGGCACTAGACTTGCATAGCAGATCCTCTATGTAGGTTTCCATTGAAATGTGTGTATGTAGTGTATGCATTCGCACGCGAAGGCCGAGTCGCTTGGAACGCCCTCGCCGTGCCCCTTTACTGCTTTTCCTGCTGTGGAACGAGTCCGGCGGCGCTTTCATGAAGTATGGTATGACGCCGGTTCGTTTACCGGTGCAATTCATGATTCGGCTGGAGTCGCTACCATAGTGCTAGAGATGTTGCTTGTGTCTGCCGCCAGCGTCGACGAGGGCAAGTAAACCGGACCCAAGACAATTGCTCGCTTCTATTCTCTTCCACCATCTTCACTGTGGGGCTCTCGGATGGGATTACACAAAATGATCCGACAATTAGTCGCCTTCGTCACGGTCGACGTGACGGCAGCTCAGCTCTTGCTGTCGCTAGTGGCAGCGGGATAGGAAATTAGATAATCGTCATCATTATCACCACGCTACGAAGATACAAGTTCCGTCACCGACGATAACAACAACAACGTCAGCAAGAATAACAGCCGTAAAAGCGGCGATAGCTGCCGCCTCGTTGCTGCTGCTGTTTTTGTAGAAACGTTTGAATTAGGATAATAGCAGCAACTTTATGATCATGAGCGTCATCTGGACAGAAGACACTGATGAACTGATGTCGGCTGTTGCGTGTGGGGAAATGTTGAGTTCGGTAATCAACCGCGAATAAATACCCTGATACAACTATATATATGTATACATATATGAGGGTAGATTGTTCATTTAGCGACCATCCTACGAGAGGACGTTCATTACAGTATCAAGCGGGGCGTTAGGAGGAAAAAAGTGAGCGGGAAACCAAAAAGGGGGTTGGCAAGTTTGTTGTTAGCATGTCTGTATTACCTAAGGGTAACAGTTACTCGATACGTCCAGTACAACAAATAGATACTATAGCCTGATGTGCATGTACGTACAGGTTCGGTATTTTATTTGCTTTAAATATGTTATACGTGTGAAATATACTGATTTGAAGAAATAAAGCAACACACATTCCCGCTTGATGTCAACGTTCGACAAATCTTACTATAAGGTCGTGCGTTCTACCACTTATTTCCTAGTTGTTTACCGGTCTCCTTATACAATAACAAAGCCACTAGACCACATCGAGGGGGGCTCGAGTATCTGGTCTGCACGAAAGAAATCGCGCACCGTATCTGAACTATTTTCAACACTATTTGTTCCGTTATGAGCGGTAATAGGAAATTCTTTATAGTCAGTGGATTTCTTTGCTATTGTGGTTTGTATAGGCGAGCAGTGCGTGCTTACAATATCAGGCACATGATGTAAAGTACCTTAAGTAAGTGATACCTTGGATGGCATCGTGTGCCTTCCTATAGTTATGGTGTTGCTTGCATGACTCGTCATAGCGTGGTATCCCATCGAGGCTTGTTCCGAGTTCTGCTTATAGGTGACGCAGTCACTCGCTGTCTGCATCACAGGATAATCCAGCATCGCGATCACTTGCATTAGGCCCACGGCCTTTCGTTGTTTCTTTCTGTTTAATATTTTACCTGCTCAAATAGTTCGGTTATTCCCAGAGGAACCGCATATACAATGCATTCTTTGCTGCATAGTTACCTAAGTTTATTTGTCGCTCCATCACTGCCTCGACGAGCGCCGCAGCTATTCCAGAGACGAACCAGACACGACAGTCTCGGAAACTAGTCTTCAGAGTTAGCCTGCACCTGGAAGCATGCTAGACAATCTTGGGCAGATGAGTCGGTATAATAAATTTTTGAAGCCTACCCTGGCGACATTTTCTGGTGCTGTCTTGATCGACTATCGTTCTCTCTGTAATTCCCGTTTCCCTCAGCTATAAAGTCAGCAATGAAAAGTATCCGCACCATCTTTCTGTATGTGTAGGTGAATATCTCCGTTCGTTGGGACATGAAAACTTCAGCGTCGATTCGCGATCAGGACTTGCTGGTAGTATATCGTATAACGGCAAGTGATTGGTGAGCTGCGACCTACAAGCGGCGATGACATGAACTCGCCTAGTGAGCTTCTATTGATTCGAATAGACACGACCCTGACTTGTCTCGCCCCATATGGGACGCCCGCACCCTGAACACGGGTTGTTTGTGGAAAAGCCCGTAGACGGAGCTCATCCTAGGCTGTGTCTCCGCCTATTTTTATTCAATCAGAGCTCTGATTGTCGCAGCGAAGACAAGCCAGACCATCTGACACTGTACGTAGCGAGGATGTTTGTTTTATTGCGATTCGTCAATCTCGCCTTTTCGGCATCTTTGTCTGTCGGGTAAATTTCGGCCCTGTGTCCAGCTTCAACCATCCATTCATATATATTCCCGCAGCGGTAACAACGGCGAAGACTATCTGTCACCCTGTTCGATGAAGACGAAAAGCTTTGCGCTCTTCGTCGTAATGGCTTCACCACCGCAAACGCCATTCTGACGAAATGAACAGACCACAGCGATTGCCGCCTACTACTACTGCTGCTGGACCAGATGCATTGGTCGTCGCATGGAGATACGCCCAATGCATGATAGCTTGGGGCACCGGCCGATGGACACAGGCCAATGGAACAACCGCGAATCTGCGATATCAATAAGAAAATGTCTGGCGGATAAAAACTCTATCCGAAGTCTGATAGTGTCGATGCTCTGCACCAGAGCGGTCGACAAGCTCTGATACGGGAACCGGGGCTGGCGTAAAGGGCAAAAAGTCTCCTGATACCAAAGCGTTGATTGAAGCTGAAAAGGGCGCGGTGTGTTTTTTCGGACTCACCAATGAAGGAAGATGTTGAGCAGACATCAGAACGACTGTTAGGCAAGTCAGCCTGCTCGGTTTAGTATAGCAGGCATGGTGCGTATTTTAAGCGTCAACCCGTGGGGCATCAATTACGACACGAAGTAGTACTAGTAGTAGCATATAGTAGTTGCTAGTAATTGATCGGTGGGCGCAGGCTTCACCTCACGGTACCGATAGGCCAAATTTTGTGGACAGATAACCCTAATTCTACCTCGTTTCGGCCTAAGAAATGTCAAAACCCTTCATAGATAAACTGGCTTGGCAGTAGCAGGTGGGACGAAGATAGCGGATGCAACAACAACGAACTTTCAAAGAGACTACCAAGCTTATAGATACGTACAGAATAACAGGGGCAACTTTACAATTATCAACGGTTTAAATCTCGCTTGCGGCCGATGTAAAATTTCATTAGCTAGTTTAGTAGTTTGAGCTAATTGCCTCTCTTCCTATTTAAATCGTTTGCTTCAATCAAATATGCCCTTTTGCTGGAATTGATCTTCATTTTAGTACAAGTGAACCCGCCTGTATTTCAGCCATGTCTACAGGTGCTGTTGTGATTAGATATAGTAAGATATTTTCAGCCTCGCTCATATAAGCTTTTTTTTTCTATTTCAGGTCGCATACAGGCGAGAAACCCTATATGTGTGAATATCCAGGCTGTTCGAAGGCGTTCAGCAATGCCTCTGATCGAGCCAAGCATCAGAACAGGACTCATTCGAACGAGGTTAGTTTTAGTTCTTGTTTCATTCGTCTAGTGTTCATACCCCATTATATCTTCTTTTGAAACCGTATCGTTTACTAATCAGACACATGCCCTCGCTGCTATCCCAGGTGCTTGTACGAAACGGTTGCGATTCCCAAAAAAAACGGGCACTGCCCACCTAATCAATACCTTGAACCATCATCTCAGTGTTTATGTCGCTGTTAAATAGATACCATCTGCAGCTGTGATGGTGCATCCGGCAGCTGGTTACTTCCCTAAATACAGGTTTAATGCGTAAACGAACAGCAATGAACGAATAAAATCAAACCTGAATGACAGGCGGAATCGTTGTTACCAACCTGTAGCAACGTAACAGTGTAACCGTTGTAGCAACGGTATTAGCGCCAATCCGACGCACGAGGCGCTGCACGGACTGCCTCCGGGACACTTTAGCTAGCCCTCAGCGACAGAATCGTTCCCGTCGACTAAGGTTGGCAAGTACGTTGAGCAGCATGGATACTGTTGTTGCCCTAATCTTCTTGGCTAACCCATAGTTCTTCATCGATGGCATTAAGTGTGCTTATTGATATACGTGTACAGTTGAATTTAACGCAAAACAAGTAACGTCAACATACGTATACTGTCAGCAATGACTACCACGGCAGAAGACGACGACGTCAGGATTCGAAGCAGCGAATCAGGAAAACGATAGCACCAAGATTTTGGCCTTCAGACGAAACTTATTCAAACCCTTAACTCTTTGTTGAAGCATGGGGAGCCGGCGACGGATAAGGAATTACTTCAGCCTTGGCGGCAGACACAGAGTACCGAGTTAACTGAATCGGTTCTCCTTCGGTTCGGTTAATGACCCGAAGCGTCTTGTTCGTTCGTGTACTTCGACGCTCGCGTATTTTCCTCCGACGTTGTGACGGCTTTATATTTAATACATAGAAACGAAGCCGAACTCACTCCGTACTAAACTGCTACTGAGAGAAGCAAGGCAAAGCGACATTGACCCGTTCCACTAACAGCTCGTCCGGTCGGTAATTACCAATGTGCCCCGCGAAAAATACCAAAGGCAATTCGTGAACAAACACAATTAATTTCCGCCTAATATAAGCTTCTTGTCGAACAACGGCAATGGCGCAATTTATGGCGTTCGACTATTAACTGGATAACTTCATAGACAGCATTTACGAGGGCGCATATATCCATAAGCATATAGTAAATAGGTTCTAACGGTTGAGAAGAGCAGCAGTTGAGTAATAATAACAGAAAAAATATCCGATTGGACATGATTATCAGTATAAATTTAAATCAGAACCTGTCTACCTTGTTTCGTGTCGGAAATGGAGGTTTACGTCTGGCGTCCAGCACAAAATGATGACTAGCCCGAATTCGGATCTAGATTAGTACGTACTCCTGAAATTAGCACGAGGACGAGATATTGTGTCACCATTTTCTTGGAAAAAAAAATGGCCAGAGTAATCAAAAACGTGTTTGAGTATATTGAACTACACTTACTGTACAAAATTCGGTTTCATATATATATATATATATATATATATATATATATATATATAAGTTGCTAAGCTTTTTTGATAAACGGTTTGTAAGACCTATGCAGACGTACATTTTTCGTATTGCACGAGTTAACGACTTATTCGTTACACCCATATCACTTGTCTAAATGTCCACCCTTCTTTTAATCACTGCCACCGTTCCATAAGTCTGCAGACCATTTCCATTCTCTTCGCAGTCATATCTTCTCCGCATTACCGTTGCTGATGTTATTGTTTACTGGGTTCCGTTGCTAATGCTGCCGTTATATTTCATACAATCTCCCGATTCCGCCTGCAATAGTATTTTAGCGTCGTTTCAGCCATTCGTGCTCCTGTCACCAATATACTACACGTAATCACGCATCCGTCCTTCGAGCTTTCTTTCCTGCACACATGCAAACACCTAGACCCATCCGTCCCATGTTACCCCATCTCGCTCTATCTTCACGTCGCCTCGACGTCTCCCGTAAACGCGGTAAACGACTTCAACGTATTGCCGCTAATGATGAAGTCGCTTACACTGCCTGCGTTGACGAAGGAGAACAAATTAAGGACGATGCCGACGTTCGTTATTATGCGAGTTACGTCGCTAACAACATTGGCAGGCGTCAGAGCTACCAAAAACGTACACACAGATACGGCAATCATAATGGTGAGCACGAAGCTAGGGCTGGAATCGACGGTATAGTTCAGTCATTTTTTTTGTAACTTAGTTGATTCAACGCTGTCTTCGCTTGTGCTGTGTTCTTAACGTTGCTCACATCATGGCCGCGTGGCTTGCCATACATATGTATATCGTGATCTCTATAGTTGTTACTCACCTGTGACTGTCGTAATTATCTTTCGTTTTGTTTGTCATAGTTGGTAAAATACGACTGTGTGTGTCTATTCGATTACAATAGCCATTTGTAATAGGTGTGCTCGTTTTAATCTTCCGTTTGTTATCCACGCATGCGCTGTGATCCTTTTAGTTCGCGCCATTCCACTTGTTTATCGTCGCCGTTGACCGCTATCACACGACGACGGCGGCGGCGGCGGCGGCGGCGGCGGTCACAACAACAACAACAACAACAGAAAGAGACAGGCACTTATAATGCGGCAACTATACCGACAACTGTAGCAAATGAAGTTGCATTGTTCTTCGTCGCGCTTGTTTAACTTCCTTCTGCCTTCATCGTCCACGAGCTGGTCTGTTGTTTCATCCCTCCCCTAATGCCCATTACCCTCCGCCCCCTCCTGTACAACTCAAATGTTGATCGGTCCCCCATCGTAAGTTGGCCTGGTGATTTGTGGGATGCTTGAGCATTAATAGCGCCGTGCGTGTTGATTTCTTGCTTGCTAAGGCCTTTGTTGTTGTTATTGTTGGCTGTCACATTCGGCGATGGCTGTGATGGTGGCTGAAATAACGAAGTACATGCTGTGGTACGCTACCTCAACGGCCACCATATCAATGGCTATGGCTTTTTGGGCATCGCACGTTGGCATGCCATCTTTGCAACGATCACCCCATGTATCTTCTAGTCCCGCACACCGTTAGCATTAAATTGATGTTCATTTTGCTACTCTATTGCTGTTGTTGGTCAAAGTATTAGTGGTAAATGTTGTTGCAAACAAGCGCTGTTCAGGGCGACGCTAGCCAGTGACCAACTTATGCTAGAAGGGAAACAACTGGTTACGCCGATATAGTATACATATATAGTATTTATCACTAGTTGCAGTAGTAGTCGTAGCTATTCAGAATAAACTAGACACGCGAGACAAACGCTGCACAACAAACCCCATGAATAAATGGCTGACCGCATTCGGTGCGAAACCGTCGTAGCAGCAATCTATCGCTATAGTACGATTTAGTCGTTTGCTTTTTCTTTCCTTCGTCTGCGATGCGTCCCGAGTGTTCCCCTAGTCATACGCACCCCGTCTTCCTCACCCCCAGTCTCTATTATGTAACTTCTGTTTAATTTGTTTTGGTTTTGTCCGGTCTTTAAAATGGCTGATGTTGCAGCAGCGGTGGCGGCAGCAATTGAGTTGCTTTGCGCATTATGGTTTCTATTCTCGGCTTTCCCTAAGCCTGCCTAAAGTCTGCGGCTGCTGTCTAGCCTGGTATAGTGTCTGGATCCGAATGTAAACAAGCTTTGCAGGCGACCTTTATTTTGACACTGGGAACTCGACAAAACGATGTCGACTGACCTCGCCATGGCACGTGCAATCTTTTCATTGCCGCCACCGCCGTCGCTCCACCGGAGAAATCAACAGCAACCTGGCGAGAAAACAGAGCGATAGAACAGAAACGACGAAGAACTCGGCGTCAACTGAAAGGAGAGAACGAGGGGCATATTTCTAGACAACACAAATGACTAACAATTACTAAACCCCATTTGTCGCCATTTAATGCTGTTAACGAAGCTGCTACACATAGCACGCAACGCTAATTGGTTGGTGATGCTCTTTTAAATACGGTTGATGACATAGGAAGGCACATATGGACGATACGTCGTTGCTACCGCTGCTATCGGCGTTTGTTGTTAGCCTGACGGTAGGAAAAATCAAATTTCTCATTTTTCCGCTGCCTGTTTGCCCTGCCATTGTCAGTGTGGAGATACAAACGTCGAAGGTAATAGGCCCATTTCGGTTCGAAGTTGTCGTAGTCACGACGCGCTCATAATGCAGTATGTACAAACTGTTTCCTTTGGGTTCGGGTACCACGGCAGTGTCCGATAGCGACAGAACGATCGCGGTAGCGTTCTGCCGGAATACCATTACCCCATTTGTTACATCTAGTATAACGCCGGGCTTCGAATCCTGCCTCGATAGTACATGGCGACGTTGACGTATAGCAGTATTGACGACTCGTTTTCCTTTGTTATTACGGTCAACTTAGCTAACCTTTTCTGTGTCGAAAACCTGCATCTTGCCAAATCGGTCGTGGAAGTCTTTAACATCGACTAGTGCTTGATTTTGATTTGGAAAGATTCAAATTCGTTGAAGCGCACCCCATTAAAAGGCCACTATACGAAAATAACATATGTATGCATAATAGTATAATTTTACATGCAAATTTATTACGGTAGGCCGTTGGCGAGCGAAAAGAACATCGTGGAAAGAGCATTAACAATTAGCATTGTCAATCCAACCATTGCAAATTAGCTCAAGTTCACTACTGAGGATAAATGGAAATAACAAGTAGACGTCTGGCGGTAATCCGAAAAAGCCGTTGAGGCTTACATGGGTAATTTCTTCGTCAACACGAGAATGACCTCGTGTAGTTATAATACCTTGTAATTATCACACGGTAGCATCAAGATGAACAAGGTTAAAAAGACTAATTTTTAATTGTCCATCAGCTTATTACACACGTACACGAAGTCAGAAAGCGTCGATTGTTGAGCGTCAATCACACTCGACAGAAAAAAAAACCGCAACTTCGCACTTTAAAAAGCAGAAGCCACCATCTAACGACCA